TTCAGTCTCACTGTGAAACGACCAAGTTATCGCTGTTTGGAGTGCACACAGTAGGCGTGCCTGAATCATCATCTATAAACAGGGAAATAGTTCCACGTCTAAGACGACTTCTAACCCGGGTGTCCTGGCTGGCCAATCAGCCCTTTGAGAAAACAAGGACAGTTCGGTTTGCAATGGTTGAGTAGAAGGATGTGGAGGCTCCGCACATCACATGATCAAAGTTTGTATTCAACGACGTGCACTGCTAAAAACCCGACCTCGGGAAGACTCACTGGTTAAGGCCCGGAGGAGTGCAAACCTGGTAATTCGATTGCTCCTGTCTAGGCTTGGGTAACCTGGCAGTATTTCAACCTCGAGCTTCCAGTAGAGTAGCATAGCAGCAAGGCACCGGAGAGGCGTTACGCGTGAAAGATATATACATTTTATATATCGCTAACAAACTGCAATGAGGGCAACACCTATTTCCTTTGGTGTGGATCCATCAGAATAACCCATCAGGCTACAACGACTGACTCTAAAACGAAAGTAGCATCACCGTCGCATCTGCGTCAGCTGGTGTTAACCTTGCAACGGCTAGGAATGAAAGCTCAATGTACTTGCAATGTACCTGCATGTACTTTCATGTACTTGACAAGTGAAGGTTCCACGGCAAATATCCAAGTCGCTAATAAGCGGAAGGATTTCCCCTTCAGTGTCATCAGGATTACTTCAGATATCTTCGAGTATGCCCTTTCTTTGCCTGGTTGGAGACACTACAAGATATGGCTGCCAATTGATGTCACTGGCGTTCTCGTTGTCAGTTTCTATCCAGATTGCCTGAGTGAGTATCTGGAGGCATAAGCACTTCGAAATGATTGTGGTAAGCTAGCACCCTTCCACCGTCCACCTTTACTCTTGTCTTTACAATAAGGCTTTCAAATAAGTCATGGCTGTACGGCAGTGAAGCGTCGGTGCTGAACACTGATGTCACGCTGTCGATGATGTGATGATGAGATTCGGCTGAGTGCCAATTCAGTTTGATGACCTTGAGCCATCTTCGTCCCACACGATGATTCAAGTCTTGTATGGATTAGAGCAACTCCCCTGATGGATCGCTCGAAAGTGTAGTCCAGCAGCCTTGTCTCAAAGACGGCTAATGAATGTAAACACCTATATATCTGGGTCTTTCAGCCCAAGATTCGGATACGTCTTTGGTCATTGTATTGTCCCACTGAGGTCGAATCTCATCAAGAAAATAAGCCAGAGCTGTCTTGCCCGAAATGCAGCCATGTAAATTTTCTGAGCAATGTTCAAACTTCAGAATTGGGCCCTGACAAGCTTGGCTGCTCAAATAAACTTGTCCGTCTTTGATTCCCTAGTAAACGACGGAACCATACAATAATCGACTTGAAAATTCATTTTCCTCCTACAAAATCGATGTATCGTGATACTACTTGAAACTCTCTGATCGAGTTCCATTCACACCTAAGAAAGACGGTCAATTTTGCCATATTTTAAAAACTATCGGTAGTTATAAAAAACTAACATTGTGCTTTCATAAAGGAAACTAACCACCAGGTTGCTGAAAACTCCTCGACAGCCCACGACCGGTTTCGCCCTTCCAATTCGGGCTCATTCTTGGGGCGCAGTCCCCGAAATTCCGTCAAAATTATCATCTACTTGAAACCAGAGTGCAGTGTTTTCTTGAAGTACACTCACCTGCAAATCAGCTTGGTTTTCACGGCAGAGTCAATTGAATCTCTCGTTTATGTTGTTCTCCAGTTAAATGTGCTGCAAACAGGCCGCCTCATGATTAAGTTGGCACGATATTCGATTTATCGAAGTATTTTTTCATAACGGGGAATCTGCCCACCAGGTTGCTGAAACCTCTTTGACAGCCCAAGAGCTGTATCGACATTCACCTTCGGGCTCATCAGGTAGGCGCAGATATCATTGTAATTCATTGTTAAAGATCTTTCAGCTCAAACATCGCCACTGCGGGACAATCCTTTCCTCCAACGCCGCCACATGATGTTGCATTTGAGTAGTAAGTTCTGTGTTTTCTGGGGCATTAAATGGGTTTCCGTTAGTCCCTTGGTCGTTCATTCCAAGGTTTGTACATGCAACTAGCTAGCCTGTAAAACCTGACGGTATGAACACATTTGGCACGGATATCTATCAAACGCACTTTGCGGGTTGCCCAAGCCTAGACAGGTGAAGTGAGGATATTAAATTAGTTCCTCTACAGCTGTACTTATTTTGGGTGGACATGACCCCTATGAACAATTTTCAACTTACCCGCTTTCTGCTCACGAAATTTTAATTACTTGAAGGTTTCTAAATAATCCCCCTCTATATCAGCGGGGTCACGAAGGACAAGCAGTGGGGTTGGAACGTCTGCACTTAAATAAGAACGATGTCAGTAAACAATATTATAATCGTATATAGTTTCAAAAAGATATTGCCGGGTCTTATGCGGTGTTTAATCATAATTTCCACCATCAAAGTCAATTTTGGTGACCTTCAGAATGGATGCTAGCAATCCATCGATCAAAACCGAATCTCCGAGGTGTCCACATTTCAATGTATATAGGCAATAAAGTAATATCAACGTTAGCGAAATGCACTCATTTGCAAACCGATTTGGTGTTTCGAGAGACTCACTTGGAACCCAGCTGAATCTCCCATTTGTGATGTACCCAGGTAACTGAATGTGCTGCACCAGACCGCCTCATGTTTCAGTCGCTATGATATTCGAAATAGCCCGATACATGTATACACTAACAACGACGAAACCGGTCGTGGGGTGTCGACGAATTTTCAGCAACTTTGTGAGTAGTTTCCTTTATGAAAACAGTTCGATTAGCGCTCGCTTAGGCAGGACATAACGCCACTCGTTCTTTTGTCACAAAACCCAAATCAAATGGTTTCAAGTGCCATCTTAATCAGGCTTAGCTGACTAGGCTTCTGGCAACCTCGCAGTATCCCAGCCTTCGGGCTTCCTTCTGGTGACACGGCAATTAGGCACCGAAAGGGTGCTACATCTGGACAATATCGATATATATATATATATACATATATATACGCTGTTTGTCATCAGGAATTGGCTTTATGCTCATGAAACCTTTAAAGAAGGCAAACCTGCACCTCGGTGCTCTTTGTTTCACCGGGTTCGAAACTCTGAGTTTACACAAGCCACCATTTCTACGCACGCTTTACCCCAGAATTGCGCACTCATTAAATTACAAAGATATACATGTATCGCGCTATCTCGAATATCGTAGCGACTGAAACATGAGGCGACCTGGTGCAGCACATTCAGTTGTCTGGAAACATCACAAACGAGA